TTTTAATATATATATGTTTATTATTTTTATCAATACATATTAAAATATGATTGTAAAAATTTAATACGTTCAAATAATTATAATGATATGATAAAGCTTAAGAAGGTTGACTTTGTTAAAATATATGCATTATGAGAACAAATATAAAATTGAGAGAATAATATAATATGAATCATCATCCATGGCTGTTTCCAGTAATTGATTAATTTCCACCTCCTCCTAGAGAGTCACATGCGTTAATATATAGGTATAGATTGAATTGGAATGATAAGATTGTTGTAACCTTAATATTTGAATAATAATACGAGAAGAATATTAGATGATTGAAGAGTTAAATTTGGTGGAAATCGATATCCTGTGGGGTAATTATATTAAAAAAAATAGAAGAGAAATGAAGTTTCTGCTGCTCCTCATTGTCATGGCAAAATTAAGAACAAGTGAGAAATGAAGAAAACAACAAAGGAGATTGATGTGAAATACTGAACCCCCCACCGATGCAATCTCTGCACCCTGAAATTAAAAGCAGCAGCCCACTTCAACTACCCGACAACGCTCTCTTTTGTTTTTTTTTTCACTTCCATTGGAATTGGTGTTTCTTTCCCTCGTCTCAGGGGGGAAAACTCTTTCTATATTGCCTTTTTTCCCTTTTAGAAAGGAAACTGGTGTTGCAACTTGATTCCTTAATTGCAATCTATTTTCACAGTTACTCATCACATGATCGTGATTTGTTGATAATGATATGTGTTATATATAAATAATTGCATGGATATCAACTATGGATAAGCTTTTGCTCATTAAACACTTTCCCCATTTTAGCTAGAAATAAGAGGAATCAATGATGATATTATTCCACCCATATGTGCTCTTTTTTTCTAAGCTAAAAATTACTTCATATATCATCCTCCGCATGTATTTGATTAAGATTTAATTTGTTATTTTTGTTCTCTTATATTTTATTAGGTCGTGAATTTTAGATTTATTATTGTTGGTTTTTTGGCAAAGTCTCACATTGATTGTGTATAAGGAGGAGGGGAAATTCTTTTGTTATAAATAGAGCCCTCCCCCTCCTTAGTTAAGCATCCCACAAATATAAGTCTTCTTTACTATTAAAGGCTATTTGTACTCTTTCTCTCTTTGTAATATTTCCTCTATTACTAAAATAATATTTTAGTAGTGTTCGAGGACATAGGCATAATTTTGGCCGAACCTCGTTAATTTTTGGTGTTCTCTTTTATGTCTATTTAATAGCTATTGTCGGGTATAGTTGTTGTTAATTATTGTCCTATTAAAATTACTTGTCTTGGTAGTTCTGTCTAAGGAAAGTGTGTTTTAAGAGGGACCATTGTTACCCCTCATCTTTCGTGGGAATCTATCTTGGGGTGATTTTTAGTACAATAGTTTTCACACTAGTCATCTAGATAATAGTTTTCAAGGTGAATTTGTTATTATTGGTGGAAATTAACCTGAATTTCACAACAATTAGTATCAGAGCTCTTGGTTTATTTTAGTATGCTCTGTGGTTGCGGCTTAGGCTGATCTTCTACATCAGAAAAAATTTCCTTGGGGTAATTGACATTCTACATTGATAGCTATTAAATAGAATTTGTAACAGAAATGACAGATGACACAAAAACATCCGCAAGAAATGTTGTGAAAAATATTAAATTTGTAGTGGAGATTTTTTACGGCACCGATCATTTCGGCATGTGGCAAAGTGAGGTTCTAGATGCTCTATTTCAGCAGGGTCTAGACATTGCTATTGAAGAAGAGAAACCAAATGATGTTGAGGAGAAAGAATAGAAGATGATCAATAGATTGACATGTGGTACTATTCGACCGTGTCTTTCTAGAGAGCAGAAATATGCATTTTTTTAAGAAAACTTCTGCAAGTAAATTATGGAAAGCACTGGAGGAGAGATTTTTGAAGAAAAGCAATCAGAACAAGCTCTACATGAAAAAGAGCTTGTTCCGCTTCAACTATGTACCAGGTACCACTATGAATGATCACATTATTAGCTTTAATCAGTTGGTGACTGATCTGATGAATATGGACGTGACTTTTGAAGATGAAGATCTAGCTATGATGTCGATGGGATCACTTCCTGATGAGTTTGAGTATCTTGAAACAACTCTTGTGTCTCTCAATGAAGAACTATTGCCTTGTATAGTTATTAATTGAGAAAGAAGGACAAACAAGAAAACAGAAGTGTCGAAGCAGAATCTCTTGTTGTTATAGGCCGTTCGAAGAGTTAGAATAAAGGAAAGAGAGGGAGATCGAAGTCAAAGTCCAGATTGAGCAAAGATGAATGTACCTTTTATCGAGAAAAAGGGCACTGAGAGAAAGAATGTCACAGGCTAAAGAATAAAGGCAAACCTGAAAGGGGAAAGACTGTCTCAGAATCAAATGTGATCGAGTATGATGATGCAAATTCAGATTTCGCATTCGCTGCTACGCCATCAACCAGCTGTTCCAGTTTATGGCTGTTAGATTCAGTTTGTAGCCACCATATGACCCCAATAGAGAGTGGTTCTTTGATTCTAAAGAACTAAAAAGTGGAATTGTCTACGCAACAAATAATCCCCCTCTTGACACACTTGGGATTGGTTCAATTCCCTTGAGGAATTAGAATGAATCAATCAAAACCTTAACAGGTGTCAAATATATACCAGATTTAATAAGAAATCTCATTTGTGGGAACCCTAGAGTCAAAAGGTTTAGAAGTGAGGGCAAAAGATGGGATTATGAGGATTATCTCTGGTGCACTAGTGATAATGAAGGGAATCCGGAAAAGAAACAATGTGTATTACTTCTGGGTAGTACAATTGTTAGGACAACAGTAGTGGCAGCTTCTACTGATGAACAAGAGTCAGAAGCAACCAGGTTATGGCATATGCGCTTGGGGCATGTTGGTGAAAAATCCTTGAAATTGCTGATAGATCAAGGACTATTGAAGGGTGCTCGGGCTTGCAAATTAGTTTTTTTTAGCATTGCATCAAAGGGAAGAAGACAAGGGTGAAATTTGGAACAGCAATCCATGATACTAAAGGTATTTTGGATTATGTTCATTCAGATGTTTGGGGGCCTTCCAAGACAACTTCTTTGGGAGGAACACACTATTATGTCACCTTTGTTGATGATTTTTCCCGGAGAGTTTGGGTGTATACAATGAAGACAAATGATGTGGTGCTAGGATTTTTCCTTAAATGGAAAAAGATGGTGGAGACTCAAACAGGCAAAAAAATCAAACGTCTCCGTACAAACAATGGTGGAGAGTACAAAAATGATCCATTTCTGAAAGTCTGTGAAGAAGAAGGTATTGTCAGGCACTTCACTGTCAGAAATACACCACAACAGAATGGGGTGGCAGAGCGTATGAACTGAACATTAGTGGAGAAGGTTCAGTGTATGTTATCTTATGCTGGGTTAGGCAAAGAATTTTGGGCTGAGGCTTTGTTCTATGCTTGTCTTCTTGTCAATCGCTTACCATCGACTGCTATTGGTGGTAAAACACCATTAGAGAAATGGTTTGGAGAACCTGCTACAGATTATGATTCCTTACATGTGTTTGGTTCCACTGCATACTACCATGTTAAGGAGTCAAAGATGGATCTAAGAGCAAAGAAGGCGATCTTTATGGGGATCACCTCTGGTGTGAAAAGCTATCGTCTTTGGTGTCCAGAAACAAATAAAATAATATTCAGCAGGGATGTTACCTTTGATGAATCTACCATGTTGAGAAAGGTGATTTTAGAAAAATTTTGGGGTTTTAAAATAGAATTAAGATTATATTTAGACTTTATAAAAAAATTACTTAATACATGTTATTTAATTAATGAAAAAATAATAGATAATTATTGATAAATATTCAATATAGTAACCAGATATATTGTAATTTTTTAAAAGAATATTCATTGGTCTTGGATCAAATGGTTCTAGTTCGTGATCTATTATAGTTCATGTTATTTTATCATTTATATTTTTTTTATCTATTTAATCTATTTATTTTTTTATATTTAAATTTTTTATGTTATTTTTAATGAAATAATGAGTATTTATTTTGCCATTGTAGTAAGTTTGTTATGCTCTCATATCACACTTCCTTCATTCTAATAGCATATATATATATATATATATATATATATATATATATATATATATATATATATATATATGGAGAGAGAGATTTGATATTATCTCTGTTACTGTATATTTGATTATCTTATTGATCTATTTATATTTTAAATAAATTATATCATACACTACATATTATTAATAAAATTAAATTAATAGATTTTATATAATTAATTAGAGAAGTAAATTAATAACTATTATGTCGGTGAATAACTCAAAATATCAGAAAAGAAGTCAGAATTGCTGCATCTTTCAAGTGAGAAAACAGATTACAATTGACTACTCATCGTATAGTAACCTCACCTTTTGGAAATAAATGGCCTTTCCCTTTCTCCCACCACCCACCAAAAGTGTTCAATGAAACTAAATCTAAACACATATTATAGACAACACTCATTTCTCTCAACCAAAGATAAGAGTTTATATATTGCCAAAGGATAAAGGGTTTGCTCGCCTTATATCGGCGGCAAGAGACGGGACTAAAACTGCTTGGAAAGCTTCCAAATTAAATCTATTAGCTGCAGAGATAGAGGACAAAATAAATGATGTTAGTTGGAATCGAACTTTAACTCTTTCTTTGTTTTTGGCATTCATCACCTCATCTTGCTAGCACCATGTGTCCCTCTGCTCAACACAAAGGGCCTTTGTCTCGATCTTTGACACATTTAACATGTACCCGTGGATTGTTTTTACGTCCATATCATCATAATTATCTTCATGCTGATCAATCCTTTTGCAAACAAAACTTTTATCATTTTAAAGGCAGCTAAGTAGTTTCACCTCCTCACAAAAATTTATATTGAAGGTTCGCAAACTAAACAAATGAGAATGTGAAAAACTAAGAAAAATGGAAGATACATATTAGCCTCTACGAATTAAACATGGGTTAATTAAGCAGCCGAAATCACCATAATGGAGATCAACGGCTGATGTTCTTCACCCTTATTATTGTCACACTCATCGGGTAGCCTTGTATCTACACACGTCAGCATCTGGGCGCTCTTAGCTTGTAGGTCCCAGTCAGTGGATCCCACCGCAAACAACATAATCAAAGCGCAACACACCTGCGCCGAAAACAAGCCCAGCCAAAGCCCAGAAAACCCGACTCCATGATAGAACCCGAGCCCAACTGCTACGGGCATGCCCACCAGGTAGAACGCAGCGAGGTTCAATTTAGCTGCGGTGGAAGGACGTGCACTCCCTCTCAGGACCCCACATCCCACCGTTTGCGGGCAGTTCCCTAGCTCGCATAGCCCTAGGATGGGAAGGGCGATGGATGTCAGCCGTAAGATCTCGGGATCAGAAGAGAATATCCGGGCCCACTTATCGCTCATCGCTGAAGCAAACGTCGAAGCTGATAGGCCCATCATGGCGGATACGAGCACCGCCACCACAGCGGATAATCTCGCTTTATTAGGACGGTTCGCACCTAGTTCGTTTCCAACACGGGTCGAAACCGCGAGACTCAGGGAAGAAGGGAAAACATATATCAACGACGTCGTTTGAATCAATATCCCCATGGAAGCGACCGACGCCTTTGGGTTCCCCAAAAGCCCACACAAAACGATCATAATCTCATACCACCACCACTCCAAACAAACCGAAACGCAGCTCGGCGCGGCTAGCTTGAGCAGCGGCTTCCATCCTCTTAAACACTCCAAACTCGGCTTCTCCCATGTGGGTTCGTGGAGTCCCGAGGCCCAAATGTAAACAACCAAGGAGATGAGGACGAAGAAGTTAGAGATGGAAGAGGAGGCTGCGACCCCGGTGACGCCGAAGTTGAAGCGGGAGACGAGTAAGAAGTTGATGGGTAAATGGAAGACGGTGGCGATGAAGGTTGCTAAAGTAAGCGGGAAGGTGATGCCTTGAGCGCGAAGGTAAATGCGGATTGGGTGAATGAAGGAGTTGGTGAAAAGGTCAGGGAGGGAAAAAAGCAAGTACCTCTGGCCTATGTGGGTGATATTAGGATCTTGATGAAAATATACCAAAATGTTAAACATGCTTATCCAAAGGAAAGATATTAATATGGAAGTGAACAAGAGGAAAACAACGTAGCGGTGAAGGGTTAAAGACAGAAGCTTAGGTCTTTGAGAACCAAAGGCTTGGGAACAAAGTGGTTCCATACCTAAAGCAAGGCCAGAGAGAACCGAGTATCCCGTGATGTTTGCAAAGGCTATAGCTAAAGAGCCAGCGGCCAGTTGGATATCCCCGAGATGGCCAAGGAAGAACATGGAAATGATGGAACGAGAATAGAGAATGAGACCGGTGAGGGCTATGGGGAAGGCTAGATTGAAGAGGGATTTAACTTCTGATGCGGTCTCTGAGATTGAAGGGTATATGCATCCATTATTTCCTTCGTGTTGCAGCTGCTGCTTTTCAGGGTCTTTTATGGAGTCGGAAAGTGGTAAGAGATTGAAGTAAAGGTGGGATCGAGATGATTTCTCGGTTACGTTTGGGAGGGTAGCGGCGGTGCTTTGATTACACATGACGACGACGACAACAACGAGGTAAAGCAAGATGATGGTGAAGAAGAAGAATCAAAGATGAAGCCAACCCGTTTGTTGTTTTGGGCTTCAAACTCACTTGAGACGCACTCTCGTAGAAGCTCTTTTTTTCTAAAATCTTTTCCTTTAACTCTCTTTAACTTTGTATGGATGCTAAGCTTCGGTTGAAAGATATGTAGATAGAATGGTTTGATTTGCAACCGAGATAGTTATATTAATAGATGAGTTGAGGTTGTGTTTTTCTTTTACAATTCATTTTCTTTTTCCTTTCTCTCTTTTTTTTGTCTTCGTATAAAAAGGTTGTCATTTAATAATAAAAATCCCACTTAACACTCAAAATTTAAATTTGTTGAAGTATTATTATTTTTTAATCATCTCCTATCAATTTTGCAATTCATTTTCTGCTTCTCTTCCCATAGTAAAGATATACACTACTACGTACGTATTTTTTTTCACTACAGCTTAGCTTTTCACGTATGGTAATTCTAACTCAATACCTACACTCTCTCTTTGCAATAAAAATGCTGAATTTTTGTATTATCAAGGTGAAGACCATAATCAAAATTAATGACTGTGATTAATAACATTCTTCAGTCCACGAGTTGTTCTTCGTATGAACATTAAATGAGTTTAAACACATTCCAGTCATTTCCGGTGCGGTATGCCAGCTGAGTTGCACTTCAACTTGGGAATTTAATTTTTGAAATGCTAAAATTTTTAAATTCATTTATGATACTTATTAGTTTACCTTTTTAAAATTAAATACTACACTTTCAATATATATATATATATATATATATATATAAAAGAAAAGAAATAAAAAGTGAGTAGAACATTGGAAAATTAAAAAAGTACAAAAATTACAGAGATTACGTGACAGGTCACACGTGCAGTTAGGGACTGGGTTCTGTGCCTTTCTGGCATCCTTAAAGGGCCGTGGAGCAGAGACAGAGTGAGCAGGCTAAGCTATGAACAAAAGGGAAAACGAAGACGAAAACTGAAACTCAAAACAGAGGTGGGAAAAAAAGCTCTCAGACTCCGGTAATTAGACTTGGCAGGTTTTCATTATTTTCTGATTGGACAAATGAAATCTCTCTGCCAAATCTTTGGACCCCGCGCGAATGCATGCATGCATGCACCCAAAGTCCGTTCAAGGACCCGTCCTTTTATCAAACATAAACTAATAAATCTGCGATTTTACTGCCTAAACTAAACGCGCCGTTGCTATTGTTTACCTTTACTCTGAGTCACGTTTTTAATCAATGTTAAGGGATATGGATTGATAATGGGTGGTGATAATAACTGGGTTTTCACATGCAAACGCAAATAAAGGCAGGTTGATATATAAGTAAAGTACAGATGGCTGGGATTTACCAAACAGATGGTATCTTCCCTTCTTTTTACTTCATTTGTTTCTCTTTCTTTTATCTTGAGTTGGGTTTTTAATTGCCTGTTGTTGTCGTTTTGAAGGGTAGTGGGGATCCAGCCAGCCGAGCTTTATGACCCACACGCACTCCCACCCTCTGAGTCTGACACGGGCTGGTGGACCCTGCTGCCCTTTTCTTTGCTGCACCACTTCTTGTGTTTCTATTACGGGAGCTAGCGCCTTTGTGGATTGTGCTGTGCCGTTTTTGTGGGCTCTCCATTTGTTTAACGTTTCCTGATGCTCTTGTTTTTGGACCATTTCAATCCCCTCCTCACTTGAATTACACTGTTCCTTCCCATCCCTTCATATATATTAAACAAACTGTGGGGAAACCCTCTTGCTCTTTGCCTCCATAAATATCAAGCATTCAAGCAACTTGACATGTTTTTAGTCCTGCATAATGTATAATTAAAACACTTGTTCATCTGCATGTGAAACTTTTGCAAATAATGAATTCTAGTCACGGGAACAAATACATTAACCCTTTTGTCTATCCAACTATTATCAACTTATATAATTTTGGGTAAACTACCTCGCAGACCAGTAAACTATGAGATTGGTTTTATATTGCCCATTCAACAATAAATTTATCAATTAAGTTATTAAACTTTCAATTTCATTTCAATCAAATCACTTTTTGTTATAATGACATATTTGGTCCTCATTGCTTTCACATTTTATTATTTTGATCCTAAATTTAATTATAAAAGTGGGATGCCAAACTTGGTAGTAGGCAATCAGCATGCCAAGCTCAATTCTTGGTTCATTGTTGACAACATATTCCATGCATGTTATCACGTTGGTGAAAATTATAGGAAATAAAAATGAAATTAGGGAGTTCGAACATAGTTAATTGAATATAGGTATATCTAGCCACTTAGTTAAGCTCAATACTTGACTTATGATTGATAAAATTTTATATAAAAATTATCTTATTGATGAAAATTAACGGAAATAAAAATAGGTTTGAGAGGAATTGAAAATCAAATCATTTTAATTAAAATTAGAATTAGAATTAAATTAATAAAATAAGTAAATAATAAAGATAAAATGTGTATTATACAAATTTACTTAACTTCAACATCAATAACTTTGTTAACCATTAACGGTAAATAATTTAGTTGAAATTAAATTAAAAATTTGATGATGTAATTGATAAAAAGTATTGTTCATCATTTAAATAAAACTAACCCCATATTTTAGTGGTCTCAAGATAGTTTACCCTATAACTTTCGAGTTCGAGATATCTTTCCTCCTATATTAAATTATTGACGGTTAAATGATTATACAATATCTTTAAATATTAAATCATAATAATATATAAATTGTATCAATAATAATTCAGTTATAACTGAGTTATTAATTCATAATAATATATAAAGTTTAATTTATATATTTCAACTGAAAATTTGTAACTAAACTCCGTGGTAACTTTCATGATTTTTTTAGCAGCTTTGAGAAAAAAAGGGAAAAAAAACCCAAACTAACCCTTCCATCTAGTGGCCTCTGGGCCAGTTTTGACCTAAAGGGTGCAAGTAAAGAACTCCTTCAATTATGTATGGCTCTTTTGGCCCAAAAACTTGGGTCTTTGGGTACAATAAATAAAATACAATTATTTATAACCTAACATGATATACCCTTAATAATGTGTATATATATATAAATAGGTACAATTGTGTACATAATTACAAGGCAAATAACTACACACTAATTGCACAAGTCAACTTTTGAGGCAAATGATCCAAGTCATGGTATTCATTTTCAGTATTCTTGCATCGGTAATCAGGGGGATGACAGTTTTGGAGTAAGATTTTCAGAACCGTTCTCATGGAAGGTCTTAATGAAGGCAATGCTCTTGTACAATAAAGACCGAGTTTGAAGGCATTGCACATTTGATTCAAGTGACAAGCTTCCTTCACATCTCCATCTAATGCATCGAGTATCGAGTGGCCTTCTTCATAGTAATGTTGAGCCCATTCTGCAAGTGATCTGTGTTCATCTCCACGATTCGGTTTCCGTCCCGTTGTTAGCTCTAAAAGTATTACTCCAAAGCTATAAACATCGATCTTCTCATCAATTGTCCTTGTGTGAGCATATTCTACAATTTGATCAAAATAAAAGATCATGTTTAACTAGAAGTCAAGGCAGTGGAATTGGATGCAATGTTGAAACATATCTGCAACCCTAAAACTCACCAGGGGCAATGTAGCCGAACGAACCAGCCACAGTGGATATTGTTGCTGGTTTTCCTTGTTTGATCAACATCTTAGCTAGACCGAAATCGGCAATTTTCGCATTGAATTTGGAGTCTAAGAGGATGTTACTCGACTTCATATCTCGATGAATAATGGGTGGAGAACAATCATGGTGCATGTAGCAGAGTCCTTGTGCAGCCCCAACTGCAATTCCGAATCTCTTGGGCCAATCCAAGATGATACTTGATGTTCGATGCTTATTCAACCATAGGTATAGGCTACCATTTTCCATGTACTCGTAAACAAGAAGTTTCGAATCCTCACTTGACATGCAGCACATCAGTTTCACAATGTTCGAATGCTTAATTCCGCTCAATGTCATAACTTCAGCTTGAAACTCCTCCAATTCCCTCTCCGGCCTTTTCTTATTCCGAATCCGCTTAACAGCAATGAAATCACCGTGGCCGGATATATCAACACGGTATACTTCTCCTGATCCCCCAGCTCCGATCTTGTTTTTTTCATCTTTCAATCCCAACAAAATGTCCTTTGTCGTGAAATTTACCATTTGGAATGCGACGAGCTCCCATCTCGAATCTAATACGTGATTTCTCTTCCAACAAAATTTAGTGACGAAGAACGAAACTAACAAACACAGTACAAAAACAGCTATACTTGAAATCCAAATAAGATCTCGAGGATAACTCAAGTTTGAGTTTCTTTGTGAACCACAAATGTGTAGCTTTACCTTTGCAGTACTGGCACATAGACCAGGGTTGTTTAGGAAGCTGTTGGAATACGCACCATTTTCGAACTCTTTCGGAATGTTCCCCGTGAGACGATTGGAAGAAAGGTTGAAGTCAGTACACCATAGAAGACCAAGTTGAGAAGGAATTTGGCCAGAGAATTGGTTTCCAGACAAATCCAATTGGTTAAGGTTCGGTAAAAAACCAATGGCCTCTGGAATTTGTCCAGAAAGTTGGTTTTTGCTGAGGTTTAGAGTCCTGAGTGACTTCCATGAGATGATATCTGATGGAAGGGAACCATGGAGTTGGTTTTGATCAAGCAAAAGAGTTGACAGAGAAGGAAGAGCTGTTAATTCTCTAGGAATTGTACCATTGAAGAAATTGTTGCTGGCATAAAACACATCAAGATTCCTCCATAGCTTTACTTCAATGGGAATTTCTCCGGAAAACCTGTTGTTACTGATCTCGAGTCGGGAGAGGTTATCCGACACTTTTCGGGGAAGCTCACCAGTGAACATGTTGTCACTTATCATTAACATTGATAAGTTCAAAGATGTCCATAGTCCACTGGGAATGCTCCCAGTAAGACCATTCCGGCTGACGTCGACCCTTAATAAACTATTACAATTACCAAGTGACCTTGGCAATTCTCCTTTAAGATTGTTGTCACAAGCTACAACTCCAAGCAGCTTACCTCTATCGCATAAATGCGTAGGCAACGTCCCTGTAAGCCTGTTAGAACAAACCTCGAATATCTCGAGCTTCGAGTATCGACCAAAATCTTGAGGCAGTGTGCCTGACAATCTGTTGCCAAACAATCTAACGTCTTCTAATGTGGAGATTTGTCCAATGCTTTCAGGAATTTCGCC